TTGGGGTCAGACTCCTGCCTTGTCTAAAATCACTACAGTCACACTACAGTCCATCTTTTACAGAACAACCCATTTTTTACAGCAGCTCCTCAAGCACTTTTGAAGCAGCACATAGTGTCTCACACACATGGCCTGCCCCATACCTACCCCAGCCTGGCAGTCAGTCTGTGCATACAGTTGTAATCCACTAATGGCTCATTTTCCACAGATGGAAATTCTTCATAATTTGCATGTAAATGAGATTCATACTGGCAAATAAAAAAGAAGGATCATTCATAGCATTCGGAAAAAAAAAGTACTTTCATTCCATTATTATCATAAAGAAGAAAAGCTAATTAAGTAAATTATTTAATTACAAATATAAAACCCCTCTCCTGTTCAATTCAGGCAACAGAGAGACACTGTGACCTCAAGTGCCCTGTTCTTAGCAACTGAAGCCAGTGCTGCGAAATTACACAGTAAATTTCTTAGCACAATTTATGCATCAAAATAACACAATTACACCTTCATTTTCAACTGGCACCAGCAGTAACATTCAACAAAGAGAGAAATCACCAAGCTCCTCGAAGCTCAGGGCTGCATTTTGCCCTGTACACGAGCCCAGCATGGCACAAACCATCACGAAAAATGTCCAGGGCTGCAAAGCCCAACACCAAGTCATGCACTGAACTACAACCACTAACGAGGTGAGCCAAAAATGCCCCACAACACACGGCCCCTGGCAAACCCCCCAGCAGTACCTCAGATGTTCTCCTGACAATGCTCTGTGTGACCTTCAACATGTACTTGTATTCTGTCAGCTCAAGCAGGTTTTTCCGCAGTTTTTCTTTGTTTTTAGTTACTTCCCTCAATTCTGTCTCCAGCTTCTGCAGCTGTTCCTAAGGCACAGAGGGGGAAAAAAGACATAGAATCAGTTACACAATTTTGGAAAACAGAGTAGAATTCATTTTCAGCACATGTTATTTGCCACAATGATGGGAGTTTCCCAATTTCTTAATTAACAGGCTCCACAGGTTTTATCCCTCGTCTGCCAAAGAGTGCTTTGTATTGAGTACACTTGATCCTCCACTGGCATCTCTTAAGTCTGTTCTGCCCTTAATTTGTGTCTAAGTAATGCAGAGTTAGAACTGCAGATAGCACAGAGTGGAAGACACCCATTTATTCCTTTAATAGAATTACAGCAAAACAGAATGTTATTCAAAATTATATCTGTGTTTTACAAGCTTCTTTTCTAACAAAGAATTCAGAGAAACCAGCACCATGTTCTGCTGGGCAACCAGCACTGAAACCTGCAGAGCCTTGGGCATATAAAACTCCCACACACCTGGAAATTTCGGATGCACAAAGAGTCACAGTGAGTCCCAAAGCAATAAATGAGGCCGAGGGATTACATCTAAAGGCAACATTTTGCCTGGAACAGTGTAATATGCCACTCCATGCAATCCAATGGATGGCTGCACACCCCAGGAGTTGGCTTTGACCCTTCACAGGGATTTTGTGTTAATATCAAAACCTCACTGGCAGGCTTTGAAGTGACACTGGCAGGAAGGAAAACAATCAGACAAAAAGGAAAGCGACTGCTTCTGTCTCCCCCACCACACCCCTACAACTGAAGTCCTAATAAAAGAGCAAGTAATTAAGTCTGCAATTAAGTTCCAATACCCTACACTTCAGCATCTGTTTAGTGGAAAAGTTACCTGGATTTCTAAAATGTGCTTCAGCAAGGGAGCAGGAGGAGCAACATCTCCTTCAGGGAGTGAAATACCTGCCTTTTTAATTTCTTGTACTAAATATCCTGGAGTGAGAAATAAAACAGAATCAGAAAGGAAACTGCATTCGCTTAGACTTCCTACAATGCTGCAGAGTTGACCTTCAGCTGATCTTGCTGGCACTGATCACTCTGCAGCACCAGGCCCTGGCTATTTTACTCAGTCATTTTAGCAACAACACACACTAATCTTCAAAAAAGAGGGACTGACAGAGCATAAGGGATAAAACACACCGAACATTCCCGCCTTGGAAGTTTGCACAAGTGAGTGAACTTCAGAGGCCTGCGATGAAAATCTCCCAACCACAAGTACTTTGTAAGAAGCTTTAATATTTCCTAGAACCTCTTAGTTGTTGCACATCAGTTTCTATCACATGATCATTTCACTTTCTGCCAGAAATGGCCATTCTGCTCATTGCCCCGTGTTTGGATAAAAACTGTTCAAAGAAGGAGGCTTGAGGAACTTTGACACACGTGCAACTCCCACTGGACAGGGAGATTGCCAAAACAGCTGCTGGCATGGTGTGGCATGACCAGCACGTGCCTCTGGTGAGAGATTCCAACAAAAGGAATCCTTCAATGGTAACTTTTCCTCAGGATACACTGAGGAAATCTGCATCTTGGCTGTAACACTCTGCAAACCCCCTATTCATTAACTACCACGAGAACACAACTACTGATAACATAATTACTAATAAAGGTATTTTTGAGGGTGCTTGGAAGATCAACAGTATTGAGTTACACAACATGAAAAAACAGGGAATATCTTACAGTCAAGGAAATATCCAGAGTAAAGCTTCCACTTTCCTAGCAGAGTTTTAAGGAATCAATACTGAAATGGTCTCAATTATTTATCAGCAAAACATTAGCAAATCTTCTTCGCCTCTGAGCTCAAAAGAACACTGACCTATATTTAGTGTAAGTGAATTTCACAGCTCACAAAACCACGAAAGTCATCTCCAGCTCCAAAAATCTACATAAAGACTCAAGAGATGAGTGTATGGATGTCTATTTTTTCATACATATGAAAATTCTATATGAGTCTACAGCAGTCAGACCACATAAGCTGGTAGCTGAAACCTTCACTGTAGTTCTACTCTAGTAATGTTAACTTTAATAAAGTCACGGCTGAGAAAGGTCAGATATGAAAATAAAGCTCACCAAGTATTCTTTCCATCTCTTCACATTTCTTCACTTCATTCACATATTTTCTCTGAAATACACTTACATTTGGGTTAAGCTGAAGGAGAAGGACAAAATTCTTATCAGAGATTCAAAACAGCAACATCCCTAAAAAACCACAGCTGTTCCTGTGACTTCCTAGAGACGGTTTGCATGTGTTCTGTGTGCTCTCTCTTTCTAAAGTGCTTTTCAGCTAAGAAGGTACAAAAACCTAAAAAGATTAAAAAGTCTTCAAGTAGCAGAATTGGTTTTATTAAAGCAGAATCATCCATGCCATTTGCTGGTTGGACTCAAATAAAAAATCAATGAGATCTCCTGGAGAAACCATTCCAAATCTTATTTCTACAGTTTTAAAATACTGCTTAATGACTTCAAATTAACAAACCTTCCTACAAGCAAATTTGTTGTGATGGATTTCCACAGAATCTATGTTAAATGTTAAGTTTTAAAAGGATCTTCTTATGTATATACCCCTGCCATAAGTGCAATGTCTCTGCCTACTTATTCAGCTTTTAAACAGAACCAATAATGTGTTATTTCTACAATAAATGGTGTGTCAAGTGACTGGAATGGCATCAAATGTTAAACATACACTCACATTGTCGTTCTTACAGATCTGCCTCCTCCTCTGTACCAAATTTACTAATCAGCTGTTAATTTGAGTTCTCCCAGCTTTCCCTGCAAAGATTCTGCAACCTACATTTCTGATGTATATTTGGAAGAAATTCCAAAGTCTCAGTCAGCAAGCAAACATCATATAATTATGATAACACAATGCAGAAAGAAGGTTAATTATTGCCCAACCCAATAGTCAGGCAGGTAGTTTCCTGCAAGGTGAATTGCTGCTCCAGGAACAGACGTGTTTGACAAACCAGGAGCCAGTGATGCTGAAGAAACAAACCTACAGAGCAGCTGTTTCAGTGGGGTGGACACGTCACTGAGGTGTGCACACACACTCAGCCCGAAGGCACTGTGGCTACACGTGGCCCAGGGGGTCTCCCACAGGGTCCTACTGCAAGTAACTCCCAAGTTCGAGCTACTTCGGTGAGAAGGTGGGATGCGGCCACCCCAAAGCAGGGAGTGTCAGGGAGGCCCGAGCTCCAAACTCTGACTTCCCATCACCCGTCCCACCCGCCTGGAGACGCTCCTGTGTCACCTGCTCCAGGGGACCCTGCCTTGGACCTGCAGAGGTCCCTTCCCACCCTAACGACTCCGTGATCCCTGCTTCCAGGGGAACGCGACCCAGGGACCGGCCACACACCTGCGTGTCGGAGGCGGGGAAAGCTGGGAACGGCAGCGGTCCCGGAGTCCCGCTCCTTCCCAGCGGCTCCCCGGGGCCCGGCTCGGCCCCCCCGCCCCTGTGCCTGCCCCGACGTCCCCGCAGGCCCCCCGGGACCCGGTACTCACGTCTCGGAACTCGGCCAGGCCGCGCTCGCCCACCTCGCTGAGGCACTCGTAGGCCGAGCCGCTGCGCAGGTCGAGCTGCACCAGGCACATGGGCTCCCCGCGGAACAGCGCGCCCATGGCGAGGGCGCTCCGGGCCCGGGGGGCTCAGCGGGGCTCGGCGGGGCCGGCGGCCGGCGCGCAGCGGGGCCCGGGGGCGGCCATGGCGGGGCGGAGCGGCCCGGCCCGGCCCCGGCGGCGGCTTCCGGGGCGGGGAACGGGCGGAGAACTCGGGCTGAGCTCGGGCACCGGCACCGGCCGGGCAGCCGGGAACCCCCGCCGAGCCGCTCACCGGGAATGGCAGCCGCGGAGTCACCGCCTGAGAGGCTTCTGTGGGAGAGGATGTAGGGGAGAAACGCGTTACTGGGAGAACCTGATACAGTCACTGAATGTTAAGGGAGAAAGGCGGTACATACAGTCATTGAATGGTTAGGGGGTTGGAAAGTACTTCAATATCGTCCAGTCCCAACCCCCGCCATGGGCAGGGACACCTTCCACTAGCCCAGGTTGCTCCAAGCCCCGTTCAACCTGGCCTTGCACACTTCCAGGGATGGGGCAGCCACAGCTTCTCTGGGCAACCTGTGCCAGGGCCTCACCACCCTCACAGGGAAAAATTTCTTCCTAATATCCAGCCTAAATTTCCCCTCTTTCAGTTTGTACCCATTACTCCTTGTCCTATCACTTCAGTTCCTGACAAAGAGCTCCTCTCTGGTTCCTTGTATTCCCCTTCAGATACTGGAAGGTGCTCTGAGGTCTCCACACAACCTTCTCCAGGCTGAGGAGCCCCAACCTTCTCAGCCTGTTTCCATAGGGGAGGTGCTCCAGTTCTTTGATCAACTTTCTGGCCCATCCAAACCCCAAAAAGTCCCCAACGTTGTGTTTCATCACCTGAGGACAATCAGTGAACGTTTCCTGCCCTGTGGAGCCCAGGTTGCCAATGCAAAGCATTAACTGGAAAAGAGAATTTTAGGTGGACACATGAAAACAGCTGAAGCGTTGTGACTTTTCTGAAGTGTGAGCAGTCTGCCCACTGCTCCAAAAATAGGAGTTTGCTGTGAAGAGGAGCTTCTACTCCCGGAGAAGAGAACCAGCTTGAGAGGATAAAGATCCATCCATGGGGATGACCCCAACCCTGCTGTAGCCTCTGGGCTGAACTCGCCACCCTCTTGAAGTTAACTCTGCACTTTGCTGCTCCAAACACAGAGTCTGGAGCTTAAAAATAATTTATTACTTTTGGTTTAAATAACACAGCCATTTTCTGTACACTGTAAAAGTACTGATTTTATGTATTTTTAAATGTTTATATAAATTTTTACCTATCTGTTCCATAATTTAGAAAACCAAGGGTTGCTCATAATTACTGCAAGTAAAACAAGAAATGCCAGTAGCAGGCCTTTAGCAAGACACTGGGAATATGGTTCTCCTGCAAAAGAGAAAGAAAAAAAAAGTGTAAGTGTATGAGAGCTAAATTTTAGTTTAATCTGTATCCTTGGGTTGTTGTCTAAAGTATACACGTTAATGCAGCACAAAGCAAGGAAGTAAAATGCTTCATACTTGTGAAACTTCATACTTTTGTGTAACTTTAGTTCCTGAAGTTGTGCAGATAATAAACACAGGCAGTTGCCTCTATCCATGACACTCCCAGGAGAGTCCAAGTACCCTTTGAAATCCCAGACATTTAATCTATGGAGTCTCCCATGAAACATAATCCACCACAGTTTTACACAGAAGAAATTTAAAAATTATCTGTCTTAACAATATGGCAAATTTTTACAGTGAGAAACAAAGTCTCCCTCCACCCTTCAAGAGCAATGACACACTCTGACAGTGCTACAATTACAGAACAATATCATAAAGTGACATATTCTTTGCCTTAACCAGCATATGTCACTCCAAACCCCACAGGGGAGTGAAAAAGAATCTCTCCCTGCCAAACTGATGCTCACAAAATTTCAAGCTTGCCCAGAAAGTACTTCTAGTAATTATTTCTTTCCACTAGTCTAACTGAGAAATTAATGCATTGTCAAAAAAACAATTAAACAAACTTTCTGGACTGTGGTTTCTAAAGGAGAAACTTTAATTCCCCACCACAAAGCATTCTTTCAGACTGAACTCCAGACATCTAATTATGTTTCAAGGAAATGTGGCCAGTTTGTGACATCCCACATTGTTTATTGTTTTTACCTGTGTAAAACCGTGTCAGTGGATAAAACAGTTGCTGCAAGCACACATCATTTTGATTGCAGTCAAATTCCACATAAATCCTGTGGTATCTGGAAAAAAAGGACCCTTTTGGTCAATGCTGTTCACATTGCTGAGCACAGTGTGAAGTTATCAATGTTTTTACCTTGTCTTTCGAACGGGTGGCTGAGCTGGGACTTTAATGAACTGAACAGAAGCTGTGATGGGCAGGAAGCTGAGGCTGTTTCCACAGCTCAGCCCACACTGGAACTGCCATAGGACTGTTGAGTAACTGTAACAATAAACACAACTTTTACTTGAGGGCTGTAAATGAAAATTTAGAGCCTAAACACGACCACAAAAGGACAAAATACACAGTATTTGGAAGAAGGTTGATAATCCCTGGATTTTCCCCCATGCAGGGGGAGAACCCAAGCCTGGAAATGAGCTAAAATGGAACAGAATCACATTTATTTAATTGGGATTGACTTGGCAGAGGAGGGGAAAGTGTTTGCAAAGTGAAAATTCCATTTCAGGAAAGAATAAATCATTTAGCACAGCTCCCAAGAGCTCTGCAGTGGGATAAGCCAGAACATAGGACAACGTTGTCACTTCCACCACGTCACAAGAAATTAAAACACTCTCCTGATGGGATGCCCTGGGTCTGCCCACTGCTGGCAGCATCACAGATTTTATTTAAATTTAAGTGAAGTAGAACTATTATGTGGTTTTAAGCACTAGTTTTGTGGGTTTTTTTCATTTGAGAATGAGAAAAGCTAACCTGGTTGTGATCAAAGGAATTTGGGCTGCAAAAATAAAAGGCTTGTAAAAATTTTAAGTAACAAAACACAGTTTTTTGTTTCTTAAGTTTAAATCTGGATTTGTTAGGTAAGGAAGGCTCAAAATGAAACATTTATACTGTGAGATAACCAGAGACACAACTCACTCTACCTGATCTGCACAGCAAGAATCTGTTGCTGGGGAATCCCTTGCACTGCTCCCACTTCAGCAAACATTATGTGAATATTCAGGTTTGCAGGAATATCTGGACAAAAGCCTTTTAAGTTTCCAGTGCTCACATTGGTATCAGAATTAAATGGATCAAGACCTATGGAGAACAGAGTTATTTAAATATAAATATTACAGAAAACATCATATATTCCATAGTTAGATTATTGTCATAGTCCAGTGAAACACTGGTAACTGTCATGCAGAAACAGATTAAAAATGCTTTCTCTATATAAAAAACACACAAAGAAAATTATTATACTTTTATTATTTAAAGGATTATATATTTATCTGTTGATATCTATTTCTCAACAGGTAAATGCCACGTCATATGTGTACAGGTTGGCAGTAAAATATTCAGTATAAATACACATACTGAGTTATATGCCTATGTGTCCACACACATGGAGAGATGGATCCAGACATATCAGTACTTTAGGCATTTGAAATTACATTTGGGGTTTATTTTGAGATGCTCTATTCAGTTTATGGGCATATTTAGACTGTAAAGAACAAAACAAACCTCACTTACGTATAATTTGCACCCAGTCATCTGGATCACTGTAACTGGAATTGTCCCTCTTTCCAATGTGAGTAGCTTGTATTAATGAATTCAATTTCTCAGTTACATTTCCTCTGCAAAATAAGAATGTAACATCACAAAGGAGGTAAATCTGTACTGTCTGACACTCTGGGTTGCAACCTTATTGTATCATAAGCTCAGTTTCCTCTGAAAGGTGTTAACCACTCAACAAAAATAAACTCGAATTTGTCAGTTATCTGTTGAAGGGAAGAAATGGCAAAGTATTCCACCCCAACACAATCCTCATTTAAATACAGACTGAGGCTATTATTATAATTTCCCTTTAGAAATGAAGTGAGACTTTTAACCACAGAAAGCTGAAACACACACAAGAGTATTTAAAAAGAATGTTCCAGTGCTGGTAAGAGGCATTTGTAGACAATCATGTAATAACCAACAGGAGGGATACAGGGAGAAACAATTCAGCTTATGTGGCTCACCTTAAAAGGCTGCAATCTTCATTAATCCCAACTTCCAGAATGCACCCAGAGTAGAAGTCTACTCCAAATAAAACTGGTGTATAAGTTGCTGATGCACATAAGCCTCTGCCAGCTGTGAAATGAAACCATCTTACTTGAGCTTTCCTACAGCCACCTTTGGATCTCTAGCTTTCAGTTTTGTGCAAAACATCAAACATTAGAATGCAAACTCAACATGGTAGAGTTCAAAAATAGATACAAGTCAATTCAACATACATTTTGCAAGAAAGCATTAGAGGCTTTCTCACTATCCTTTAAACAAAGGCTTGGGAAAGAAAACCAAAATCTGGAGCAGATTTTTAACTAAAATATGTTTAAAAAAAAAATCCTAAAACCAATAAAGCCCCAACACTTTAGCATTAACTACAGTTGAAGTTGCAACCTCACAAGCCAGTACCTGGCTGCCAAATATTTAGGGTTCCAAGAGGATCAGAAGCATTTATATTTGCAGCTCTCACTGGTTTTCCAACTTGATACCCTAAAGAGAGAAGGGTAAATCATGAACATTGTATAAGAATCTATAAGCATTAGCATTGTTTTACTAGTAAATGTCATCAATCTTGAAGTAAATGACCAGGCATTTCCATCAGAGTGGGAATAGCCTCACTTTAAATAATCAATAGCTATGCAACAAAAGCCTAATAACCAATCTCTGCTACTGGCAGTGCAGGAAGGCAGGAAGGTGAAGGCTGGCAACATAAGAAAGTATGAAAGAAATATAAAACATAATCACTGATAATAATCTGCACAGTATGATTTTTTTTTTCTTTTAATAGGCAAAATAAAGTAGTAATACCTGTATTCTCAGGCAGTTCTTCTCCATTAGTACTCTTTAAACTCAGAAATTCAACTGTGAATCTCTGTGTCAGTATTTCTGGTAAAAGAGAAAAATATGACTTTACTTTTAAATGAGTAAATTAGCAACAAGTATGGTGTAAATCAGCAAAAACTATGCTCTGTGTAGGATACAAACTTTGGTCCTTCAGTAGTAACAGAAGATTCAAAATAATACAAATTAATGGAAATAACCCCTTTACTTTTCTTTCCAGAGCCCCAGGAAAATTCATTTTAAGAAGTATTAGTAAACAAGAGATTCTATCACAGAATTTCCATGTTGAAGAAAAAAGTACAATAAAAGATCATTACAAAATGTCATGATACCTCCATCACACAAGCTTCCAAGGAAGACTGTGACATTTACTTGCTCAATGTTCTTGTCTTTGCAAATGAATGTATAATGCTCTGCAAAAGTTACATTTTGACACAGAACCTCGGCAGGATGAAGGTTTTCTGGCAGAAGGAAAAAAAAAGGCCATAATGAAAAGCATTCTAATTAGAAAGCTCTGTTACTGCAGCTCAAAAAGAACACATTAAAACCCTGGCAAAATTCTGGGAATTACAACATTCATCTTTTTGAGAATTGATTCTACTGTTTAAATGTGCAATGGTACAATCTCCCAATTTATCAATATTTTAACATCAGCAGTTCCAGGTCCTTTTCTAGCTGATCCTCTGCACAAGAAGCCAGCACTGGACTTTACATCACCAGCTGATGCCCTTCTCTGGACTGAGAACTCTCTCTGCTTTCCTCTCATCCCTCCCAGGGAGCCATCGCTGCCCAGAAAAACTAATTAGCTTGGATTCCATTAGTTTATTATCCTCCACTGACTGGGAACCACTGTCCTACATCAAATAACTGCTGAAAAAGGCCCTTAAAAGGGCACAGGAACTTACAAAACAGAGACAACCATATCTGCTTACAGTCTGCCCTCCACACTTACATGTTCATGCTGGAGATTTTTTTAAGCATTCTTTATATCTTTCTTTATTGTGTTTGTTGGGCTTTTTTCTTCTCAAAATTAATTTTAATGTAAGATAAGGGACCTGATTTCTTGACCAACCTTAAACAAACTGGGGTAAATTAAATACTTCCTGCTTTGCAGGAAGCCAGTTTACTTTTTCAGTGTTAGTTAACATATAAGATCCCTCCTAAGAAGTGCAGCAGGTAAACATTTTAGGCATCAAAATAATCTATGCCATATACAGTCCAGGTTAGGTAAGAGACCTATTAATTAAATGGAAGACACATACCACTTTCAGTGATGAATTTGCCCCTGTCAGTGACGGTTCTATAGGTGACATTTTGTTGGATGAAGTCTGAGAATGAAAAAGAAACACAGACCTACAGTTTTCACAACATCCTTGTTGTTATGAACATCGAGTAGAAAATTATTTAGAAAATTGATTTTGGTAAAGACCCAAACTTTTTATGTATTATGAAAGCATAGCTAATTATCTCTGGGTCTAGTTAGACTAACAAAATTAGACAATTATGGAGCATAAAATAAAATATCTTCATGCTGGTAATCATATTATCTCAAACCCCAGAATGACTCTTCCTAAGTACTTGCTTTTGTAATGCAGAGAGTAACCACTCCTCAGTAATTCTCAAATGCTGATACTGCACCCTCCTGACAGAAAAAGGGCTCTGCAACAGTCTGAAAATAGCGGCAGAGATGCTGCCCTGTCACTTGTAGCCATAACCAGTAGGAGTCACCAGAAACAGGTAAATGGGAAACAAAGGTCAATCCCTCTATTTCTTACATGCTAAATCTTGGGAAATAGTGGGACAATTCCTAGAAGGTCATCGGGAACAGAACATCTCCAAACGTTGAACTACAGCCACCAGATAACACAGGTGTTAGATACAGCTACTGTGCCAACAGCCCTGGGGTTTGTTCTGTTCTAGCAGCTCTGAGAAACAGGGAACCCGTTCCTGTTGGGATTTAGGCAGCATACCTGCAGTGCCAGTGTTTATCCTCACATGGTGGGGCAGGCCTTCCTTGTAAGACTCCAGACTGGTCAGGCACTTGACATCAAAGTCCTGGAGATACGCCACGGGAGCATTCCCAACACACTGCCCAGCCAGGGACTGCTGCGGGTGGGCCACAAAAATAACTGTGTTGGACCCTCTGCCAGCCCCTTGCCTTTCATTTGAAGACTCTTAGTTAGTGAAATGCCCCAAATGTGCACTGCAGCCACATGTGACACTTTGAGAAACAGGTAATCTGAAGTTATCAAAACATCTCAGTCTGTAGCAAAGGAGAGGTCAAAATCTTAAAAGCACAGCTTTAAAAATAGTTTCAATGTACAGTCTGGCTTTACCCCAATTTGTCACAATAATTATAACCAGAAAGTGTCTCTAAAATACAAAAGGAATTTCAATTATCACCAGATGACTGAGATTGAAAGCCAACTATATTGCTCAGCAGGAAAACCAAAAAATACAGAATATGGTAAGTCATAAACTGTTAACACGATGCCAAGATTGCTTTTACCTCTTGAAATAATTAAAACCTTACCATTTGGGGGGTGGGCAGGGGCATCAGGAAAGATGTTTTCTTTTAATAATGATTTTGTGCTGCTTTTTTTCTAATTTTTTTTTGATGAAAAATATATTCCACCACTTTACAAGAGCAAATTGCTGAATCTGGTTACAAGGGAATGTGATGTATGGAAAGTATCAAACAAACCAAGAGGAATCAAAAGCTCATAAACACAAAGTGATTACCTGGGGAATGGTAAAATATTCATTTTCTTCAGTTATAATTGGATCTCCTTGTCTGTAACCAGTGAAAAGTCTCCCAGGAGAAGTTTGTAAAGGGATTGTAAATGCAGGAACTTTGGGTGCAGAACTGCAAACAAGTTTAAAAATTAAACAGTTCTTTATTCTCTACCTCACAAATAATGACACGTTTTCTTTCATGTCCCATGTTCTACTATAGTACCAGTGACATTTCTCCATTTGCATTTGAAGTTCACACCCTAAAATCCTGATTTCAAAATAACTTTCATTATCAAAACAGGTTCATTTTCATGTCTAATGTGTATGGTGAGAAAATTAATTTTCTTAAGACTTACATAGAGCCATGATAAAAATAGCCAAGAAATGGTGTGTTGTCAAGAGAAGACTGTACACAAAGGAAGGGAAACCACTCAGGGGTGTATTCCATTGACTGGGAAGAGCACAGCTGATCAAAAGGTGGGTTTACATCCCCACCAAACACCCCAGTGAAACATGATCCATTGAATAACTGCTTCAAGTCTGGTGTACACTCCTGAAAGGAAAGGAATGGTCACTTTTAAGCATGGTCATTGCATTAGCTATGGCACTATAGCCATGTTTACAAATAAATCAAACAGTTTTGTAGAGAGAGGTCATATTTACTATTAGAAATACTGGAAAATCCAAACAAGCCCTGTGGCCCATCTAGGCTGAAGCATTCAGTACCTTTCACTCCTCCCAGATAACAGAGAGAGTTTAGAAATTTGACAAACACTAATCAAAGTTTAATATGAAATAAGTACCAGATCACAGCAACAACGAACATCACAAGCTCCAGCTGTTAAGTTACAAGGACAAGAGCCTAAGGGCTGAAAGGCCTGGTTTGGGATGATAGTTGCATTTTCTGTAACAGAATTAGAAGAGGAGAAAATCAGATTAAGTGGACTGAAATCCAAATACACAGACCATGCACATTGCAGTTTATTCTGACTGTGAAGAAACCTTTTTTAAAATTCCATTAATGATTATTCAATATCTCTTATTGCAGCCCAAACCCCAGTTCTTCCATGTAGAGAGGAAAAGAACAGCCAAAATGCCATTTTTTCTTTAACATATCTAAACCCTTACCTGAGACATTTCCTGCAAAGGAAGAGTTGGCAAATATTTCAGCTTGAATCAGGAGCTGTGCCAGCCTCACTGAACCACGGCAAGCTAAAACCTGGAGTGTTTCCAGCACACAGAGAGGTGAGGGGCAGCAGTCAGTGGCATTGGGCAAACACAACTCCAGGTTTCTGGTCAAGCTTACAGTCACTTTGGAAGTGTTCTGGAAAAATGCAGAATAAAGTTTGACAGCTCTTATGCCTTGTATTAAATTGCTCTTAATTATACCACTCATCAGCTTTTGAGAGAGGAGTTGGAATGAAGTGGAATAACAGGAGTTGGAGACTGGAATGACAAAAAGTTTGGTACTGTGATATGCAAATACAGGAGGGATATGAACACAGAGAGAACTTTTTAGGGCATGTACACAGACTAAGTTACTTCAGAAATCACATGCACAATTCTAAAGAAAAAAATCAAATATTGAAAAGGGAATTTCAGTTTTTACAGTTTCCTTCAGTCGGAAACTGGAATGATGCCAGAGTTGATAAAACCCCTAAAGAATTACATGTAACACTGAAGACAAGTCTAAGAAATACAGATGTTCTAGAGCTCATGTTGTATACTTTTTTATTTCTAGTACATCCTTCCAGCAGATCTGAAAGAGCCTCAAATGCTACAGCCAGCCAGGAAATACAAGCAGTTGTGAAGAGGAGGAGAACAAGGGACCAGTGTCAAAGTTGCAACTCCAGCAAGGGCACTCACACAATATGTCAAGGAAAACAGGCAAGGGCAACATATTCAAATGAAGTTGTTAGTACATTAACATTATGCTAGTATTTAATTACCCCTTAATATATGACAATCATTCCCATTTTAGGGAAGAATTAGTACTTTACATACCATACCAGGTGTTACATCCAAATTCCAATCACCAGCTGTTTTACTTCCACTGCAATTTGCAACTTGCAATTTTCCTGTAGCAGAAAAGAGTATTCCACTGTCATTTAGAAAAGACTGGGAATAAGAAGTACATTTAAATTCCTCTTGTGCCTTCAGGTACACACACCCTGAGGCCCAGCTGACACAGAGTCAACAGAGAACTAAGGGTTTAATCACAGAAGTCCTCTGGAGTTCCTATTTCAGTAATGATTAAAGCACTAAATTAAGTGTATTACCATTTCTCCAGCAGTTTTAATGTCAAAAATATTAATAATTCAAACGTATTTATTTATATATGGGGGAAGGAGAAGGGGAAGTGAAGTGTTCTTACCTGTCTCTTCATCTCCAGGACTTAAAATTACAGAAAAAGTAACTCCTGAAGAATTTCCAAGAAAAAATGAATTGACTCTGGGCCCTGACATATGGATAAATGAAGGCTGAAAGACTAAAAAGAGAGAGAAAGAAACAAGTCTTAATACACACTGCCTGAAAACGGTAACATTTGTAAGACATATTTAGGTCTTCTGCTTGGCCTAGATTCTTATATTCTTATACTTTAAATTGTCACAAATAGAAGAAACAGATCTTGTAATGCTTAGTGCAGGGTTGTATTTACATTTTTGCCAAGGGCTGGAGCAGTGGGTTCACCATAGCTTTCTATACCACAAGTTTATATTTGTGAAGACATGCAGCAAAATAACATTACAGCAGGAGGCTGCAGCACTTACAGCCCATGCAGATACTACACAGCTCAGGCAAGACCATATTTCACATTTCTTACTGATTTCAGTTGATACATTTAATTTCTTGGGGCCACGAATGGTGCCAGGAGTGCCCCGCTACCCGTGATCCAGCAATTGCGGGCTCCTGCCCTCAGCATGCGGACGCAGCGTCAAGTTTAGGGCTCCGAACTGGGAGTTTCGCTGGGTTTTTCGTTACAAACTTTACCAAGTTTGAAAGGTTCGACATAAGCAGCTCCACCCTCCCTCTCCGAGTCTCCCCCAGAGGCTCGTGTTTGGGCAGGGGTACCCAAGACCTCCAACCTCGCCGTCCCCGGGGAACCCTCAGAGGATCCGCGACCTCCCCTCACGCCCACCCGGGCGGGTCCCGCCGCAGACCGACCCCCATCCCCACACCCCCGGAGGCCGCCATTCCCCGCGGCCCCTCACGCCCTGACCCACCGGAGTCCCCGGCCCGCTGCCCGGGGCAGGGAGCCGCCAACAGCAGCAGCAGCAGCAGCGCCCCGAGGCCGGGAAGCCCCATGTCGCCTACGGCGGCCGCCCGGCCGCCATCTTGCAGCGCCAGCGCGGCGCCATGGCAACGGCGAGGGCGGGAACGGCGGCCGCCTCAGGGAAGGCGGCCCCGGGAGCGACGGGCCGGACACACAGCCCGGCTGGGCCGCCGCACGGTGGCGTTGCAAAATGTAACAGTTACCCTAATAAAGGATGTTCTTTGATGTTTGGTCTTTGTATACTTTCAAGCCTAATCAGCAAGAAGGGAGATTTAATCCGTGAAACAGCCAGCTTTATGTTAGCAAGCTCTACGTGATGTCTACGTATTAGAAAAACAAGTTGGTATAATTGCCTTGTTAAAGTTTAGGGTTTGACTCTGCTTCAATGATCTCAGGCCTGGGGGAGGTCAACAAAACCTGGGAGGAAGGATGTACCACTGACAGTGGGCACAGTGCAGAATTTACGGCTCACAGGGACAGCTGGAGGAACTCCCCAGGTAAGGAAGAAACTAATAAGCCCAACTGAGCAACTGTGCTGGAATCAGCTCTATCTGGGTAAAAGTTAATTCTGGCAGGGTCAGATCTGCAACCACGAACCCAAGAAACCCCCCAACCCAAAGGAAGAAAAAAACTGAGCATAGCACTAATTAGCATGAGAAGCATGAGAATCATTAACCAACAGAAGATAGAATATTAATTAATAAGAGAACTATGTAACTTGCAGCCATTGAACACTAATTCCTGTGTTGTTAAAATGTATAAATAGATAAAAGTTTTGACACCATCCAGCGTCACATCACATCATTACACTCATACAATAAATACCCAAGAAAGCCATGTAGCTCGCCCTTAAATATGTCATTAAAGCAATATCTGGCCACGCTTGCAAAAGAAACAGTTTTTATTACAAAAGTTTTATACAAAGTAAATTATAAATACAGCCTTCACACAAAATGGCTTTTGGCAATCAAAAAAGCTCGCCTTGTACTCTGGCAACCCTGGAAAAAACTGGCACTAAAGCTGTTACGGTGATAAAACCTGATATCAAGACATGACAAATTCTTGTGTAGACATTAGGAATTAAAAAATTAGTCCTTTTCTATGCAGGAAACAATTCCTCTCTGTATTCCTTTCAGGAGAATGGCAGTTACTAAAACAGGCTAAACCTCCAAACTGTAGAGTTACTTTTTAGATGGGGATATTGTTTGTTTAGTGTCAAATGCCAGATGTAAACCCACATACTAAAAAAAGAAGTGTGCCTGCTGTCATATTACAACTACATTTTTTGTTTTCCAGTTTCAAAATACAATCTTAAAGACTAGGCAGTTAGTCTGCATTTATTGGTGTTATTTCAAACAAAGAAAGGCCTTTTTATTCACAAATGAAGATATATCAAATTGAGAAAGAAGTACCACAAGGACAATACAGTCAAAGGAATATGAATACATATGAGTGCACTTGTAGGGCAATTAGCACCTTTTTATTCAAGTGGCTCCCAAACCACCTTGAAAATGTTGGCTCATTTCTTTTGAAACTGAACCTGTTTTAGTCCAAAAATTGCTAGCAAGGAGCTGAAGTCCCTGAAAACCATAATGCTAAAGTTCTGATCCTACACACTAGAACTGGTCATTCTGAACTTTACACCAACAAAAAGAACCACAGCTTTCTTGTCTTTGAAAACAACTGAGAGGTGGAAAACTTTGCAGTGGCCAGAATACCTTCAACTTCACAGGCTGTATCTCCTTACAGGATGTAACTTCTGGTTCCTCTTACAGTTCAGAATTAGTAGGGAAAACAGCACAGGTTACATGGTAATACAGTGATTCGTTACTTAAAGGGCTGCATAGAAGACATCTCATTTAAATATTTATCCCCTAACAAAAAAGTAATAGCACTTCATCCAGTTCTCTTTCATACCCAATAAAAAGTGCCAGCAATTTCTCAAGTAGGTTCCATTTCATGGAATTACTGGAGGAGGTAATGATGTATTTACATAATGTTGTTACGCAGCTAACTTTAATTTCTTCTTCTTTGCTTTCATGACAGGTGGCAATGATATTTTGAAAGCAGTCCTGAAAAAAAAAACATAAAAAAAGGAACTGTCAGCTACACTGAACATATTTCCACACCCAGCCCTGAAATACAAAGAACAAACACTTACTCGCAGGTACTGCAAATAGGACTGAAGTTGCAGAATACTGGAAAAGAAAAGAATTGGCTTTCACTAAAATAGGTCATTTGAATGGAAGAAATCAGACTGTTAAATATTCATAAACTCACTTGACAAGCACACAGAGCACACGTAACCAATTTCAATGAGGTTCCGATGACAGAAACACGCAGCTCTGTAGTCAACATGAACAGGAGGTGGGAGGACCAGCTGTGATCTCTGCTCTTGGTCAGGGAGAAATACCCACTGCAGGGAAGGAGAAAAATACTTTGTGAATTGGACTGGTACTGCTGTATCTCCTCATCAGTGATATTTCACATCTCACACAGGAAAACCCCTCAGGTGTTTTTTCAGTGACTTACCAACAAATATTGCAGGAGGGATGGCATGTGGGGCACTTTCAAATATATGCCACCTGTAATGTCACAGGCCTGCAAAGCAGAGAGAATGATCAGGTTGTTGTTTTATGACATTAACAGGATATTTAAAATGTCCTTGTACTGCACAAGGCCTGCATGACAGAACTGTCAGATCCACTGAACATATTTCCACACCCACTCTTCCTTAACGGAGGAAAAGAGCAGAAGAACATGTTGAACTATCTGGCATCAAGTATCTATGAATTAATACAAACAGCAAATAAGAACAGGAAGTCTGTACCTGTTGTAGAAGACCCGAATCAGAGTCCAGGACACAGGCATCAACCAAAATACTCTGCAAGGAAAGAGAGGAAATGCATGAAAACCAAATTCAGCCAGGATCAACGTAGCCCTGCCAGTGCTCCTGACATGACTTTTTTCCACTACACATGCACCCCACATAGAAATGCACCTGCTTTTGCAGATGCAGGGCCACCACAGCCACAGGAAAGCTCTTCCACTTGATCAGAACGTAATCATAAGAGAAACGAACTGATTTGTCATCTTTGCACATTAATAAAAGACAATATAAATTCAAAGAAAAGCAGCCTCACCTGTTTCTGCGCTGCAAAGATCACATTCATGAAATTCATATATTGCAACGTGCTGTCTTCTGCGGCTTTTATGACCTAAATAAAACAACTCAGACTTGTTAGCCTACATATATCACTGGATTTGAGAACCAAAAGAAAACTGACAGCAAAAGTTCTTACCAAAATCCTTGATTTCATTTCTTGATTGGCTAAGTATTAAAAAGAAAGAAAGAGAAATGCATCAGCACATTGGTTGTACCACCACAGTTTGCCCTTTTAATTCTGTAATCTCAGTTAGATATTGAACCTCTTCCATGTTAGATCTAACAGGTCAGATAAAACATATACGAAAATGTGGTCCAGTCCCAGTGACAAGTATCTGTGGATTAATTCCTCTCAACCTCAAAAGAGATCCCTGTTCCAGTTTTACTCGAATGCAACAGAAAATCTGCATAAGAACATGGACTGCTGTTCAAGTCCTTTTCTCCTGATTGTCACCCAGACCTACTTTAAACTGGGCAACTTCAAATGATCAGAATAAAACCTGTACAACTACTCCCAATTTTGGAAATGGGAGTGTATCAAAACATATGCATATCTGTGTGTGCATATGGATTTATATTTATCCTTCAGGTTCAAATATTTATTCAAGGATTGCAAACAGGAGAAGGTGTTACCTTTCACCTCTTTGCTCATCTTGTTGATGTCTACATTAGCTGACATTAAGGAATCTACATTCCAATCTTGGAAATAACTCCAGGATCCATACCACATATTCACCACCTTGGCCAACACACATCTAATAAGCACAACCCCCAGTTATTAAGCAAACCTTTCAGTGTTTAATATTATAAGAGAAAACAAATAGTAAAACAAGTACTATTACAAGAAAAAGTCTTAAAAACAAATAAAGGCTTTGAAGATTCTGTGATCAAAAGGATACAACAAAGTGCTTTAGCAAGTGATCCTGCTAGCAGGGTTTCTGTTTGCTGGCCCTTCATCTCAGCTGCAATACAAGAAAAGTTGCAAAAGTTTACTTTTAGATATAAAAACCAGTTGTTGAAACTGTCCACACCAAATACTCCAAGTTTTATCTTTGGCAAATAGTATTAAAGCAGAAAGCTGAAGTGTCAAGCATAATAAATTCATCTACTTTAAACACATTAAAATTCACATGATGAAAACAGAGGAAATTCCTAAAAGTCCTTGAGAGTCCAAGTATTTTACAATTCTGCATATTAAGCCTAGAATTTTCTTCTCCTTACTTTTTGTCATGAGGTCTTTAATCTCTTCTGCAATTGCATCATTTATTGCTGTCAATAATTCATATTTTCCATCCTTGCTGCCAGAGCAATTAGATTCCATGGAACTGCCTCCATCTCCAAAGGGATCTGCAGAAGCCCAGCGCTTTCCAGGGTACAGGAAACGGCTAAAACAGAGGAAAAGCAAAGCATTCATGTTTTGCCTTTAAGCTTGTAGGAAAAACTGTCATAAATTAATTAGCTGCAGATAGCAATACTCTGAAGTATAATTTCAAATACTTTTAATACTTTAGACATTAAAGAGACTACCTAACGTTGGTGACCTTCAAACTCAAACATGAGTAAACCCCAAATTCAGCTCCCTCCTTTCAAGACATCTCTTAAGAGAACTGGCAAACAGATACTATGGCTGCACTTTGGGGAGACCCCAAGACTCACAAATATCTGCAGGGAAAATATCCACTAAACAGGAAACTTCTGCCACTTGCATTGTTCCACTTGATGCATCTCTACAATTCTCTCTCTCTCTGTATATCTTTAAGTCTATTTAAACCTCCCTTCTGTTTTATAAGCCTTTTTGTTCCTTTGTAAGGCACTAAGATTATTTCTTTCCCACAATTTTTTAGCTTATATCTTGTTTTAAGACAGTGATATATTACACACGTTAACTTGGTTTCAATTATACATTTCAAGGCAGTAAGAAAATCAGAAGACAGATATAGGAAAGTGCATTTGAAACCTTTACACTGTTCAAAAGCAGCTCTACCTTTCCTGTGTGTGACTTGCTATCACAGCGAGTTTGTTGGTGCGATTCATGAACAAGTGGGAATTTCCCAGCACCATCACGGCATCGATGCATTTCGACAGGGTGAACTGCTGGAAAAGAAAACAGCAGATACAGCACAGTAACAGTTACACAGAAGCAACTCAAAAGAAATCTGTGAAATAACTGCAGTTTAAAAAAGAGTGTTCTGATACCTGATGTCTGCTTTAGCAGACAACGTTAGGATAGTTCAGAAGTCAAAGATTAATCCTACCTCTTGCCTACTTACTAACGATTAAAAAAAATGACACCGTTCCCCTCAGCAATGGCTACGGGCAGCACCAGGGCCGTACCTCCGCCTCTCCCAGCGCCCTCTTCCCCCACCAGATGGGGTTGGTGTCGATGACGATGACCAGCAGGCTCAGCTCGTCCTCTGCAAAGGGACCGACACAGCAGCGTCACTCGGGGCCCGGGGCAGAGGAGCCCAGTCCAGGCGGCAGAGCCGTGCCCGAGAGCCCCGCTCCGGCCTCTGCCTCCTCCACGAGGAACCCGAGCCCCGCTCCCGGCACCTCCCGGACCCCGCCGCGGTCCCCTCAGACCCTGAACGCGGTACCCCCGAACCCGCCGCCTCACCCGCGCTCATCTCGCCGGTCGGGAGAAGCAGCTGCTCCCGGCGGCCTCAGATGACGCTCCGTCCCCGCGCTCCGTCATCCGCAGGCGCCCCGGCCCTGCCCACGCCCCGGTGCGGCGGGAGGAGCGGAGCGGGGAGCGATGAGCACGGACGGTACCGGGGGATATCGGGGGGCGATGGGCACGGACGGTACCGGGGGGATATCGGGGGGCGGTGGGCACGGACGGTACCGGGGGGATATCGGGGGGCGATGGGCACGGACGGTACCGGGGTGCCGGGCCGGGCCAACGCGCCCCGTTGTTTTCCAGCCTTGATCGAGACCTTCCGGGCACAGCTGAGGGACGACCCCGATGTCGCCTCGGCCGTGGCCGCCATCCGCGCCCTGCTGGGCTTCCTCAAGCAGGACCGAGGTGGGCCCGGGTCCCCTCCCCGCTGCACCCCGGGTGTCCCCGGGGCCAGCCCCTGACCCTGCCTGTCCCCAGGAGAGACCATCCAGGGCCTGCGGAACAGCCTGCGGGACGCCATCGACACGCTGTCCCGGGTGGACTCCTCGGTGGCCGTGTCCTCCGGCGGGGAGCTGTTCCTGCGCTTCATCAGCCTCACGTCCCTGGAGTACTCGGTACGGGCCGCCCTGCTCGGCCCCGCTGTGCCGGAGGACCCTCCCGCCTCACTGGCATCCCTCTGTCTTCCAGGACTACTCCAAGTGCAAAGAAATCATGATCGAGCGCGGGGAGATCTTCCTGAGGAAAGTGTCTCTCTCGAGGAACAAAATCGCCAAGCTGTGCCACCCATTCATCAGAGATGGTGCTGTGAGTAGGGCCTGGCAAGGTCACTCCTGTTCTAACTCCTGCATGACAAGCCATAGCACTATTAACAGAAGTAAAGGTTTCCCAAAGCTCAGCAAAAATAAATGTCTGAATTTCCTTTGTTTTGGCAGCGAATCCTGACCCATGCCTACTCCAGGGTGGTCCTCAGGGTGCTGGAAGCAGCTGTGGAGGCAAAGAAGCGATTCAGTGTTTATGTTACTGAGTCACAACCAGATCAAGCAGGGCAAGTACTCGTTAATTTGGTTTTTATCTTGGTTAACAGGGTAAGTTACAGCTACCATCAAGCCTACCAAAGCTGCTAGGCTTGGTTGCAGCATTTTAAATGGCAGCTGTCACTAATATCACATTATTCTGGACAAGTAGAAAAAAACCCTAAACAGTATTGGTAATTAACTTCCCATACTAAATATTCTAATTAGCGTTATCCAGGTTTTCCTCAAATGTTTGCAAACTTTCAGGCAGTGCCAAGCAACTGCTTTACCCCTGGGAGATGGGAGAGAACCGATTTCTAATTTTCTCCTTCAAAAATAGGGCAAAATAATCAGGATTATCCTGACCATAGCATAGTGAAATGTATAGGTAAAATGTCATTTGAAGATGCCAAATAAAGTAATTACTTCAGAGCATATTTTGTTGCATAAGTGAAAGAGTAAACCCTGCTCACTGGATAATACACAGCACTAACAACACACACCACCACACCAACAATTCCTTCCATTTCTATACAATAACTTATCTTCTGTTCTACAAGAAACAGAACATGGACAGTCACGGGTTTCAGTCTTTCAGACAATATTTTCCTATCACTGTCTTTAAAGAAAAGATTTGTAAGGTTCAAACATGTTTTCTTTAACAGGCAAAAAATGGCAAAAGCCCTGAGGAAGCTGAACATTCCCGTGACTGTGATTCTGGACGCTGCAGTTGGGTAAATCTGATCGTAAATCTTAATATTGTTCATCACAGTTCTATTTTGACAGTGTTACACATAAGTTTTCTAGAAGCTTTTTCAAACTCCAGAGGTTATTACTTAGTTTGTCATAGTCATCAAACAGGCTAAACAAGTTACACCTTTAGGTGCACAATTAGGAGAATGTGTCTGTTACAAGACAAGTATTTGATTTTGCATGTTAGAATGAAAGGAGGAGTCAGACCTAAGTGTAGAACTCGTGGAGATCTGTAAAAAAAACTAAGGTTCTACACAAAGAGGGGTAGAAAATGATATCATTTTGGGGGTTTTAAGGTGTTTGCTAAACTACCACTGCTTTGTACAAGTCCAAAACATGGGAAAAGAAAGAACTATAATAAATCTGAACCTCAAGAAGTTCAAAATGCCCAAGACGCTGCCTCCAAGGCACATGGACTTACAAGAGGTGGAACTAGTGCAGAAAAGTGAAAGCCTGCTTGAGTTACTCATTTCTGTTCTGTTCAGCAAATCCTTTGCCATGTTACCCAGTAAGCCTCGGATTTTTTTCCCCCTCTTTGAACAGCTACATTATGGAGAAAGTGGACCTGGTGTTGGTTGGTGCTGAAGGTGTGGTTGAAAGTGGAGGCATTATCAACAAGGTAATCCTGAGTTTCTTCCATCGTTCTCTAAATTCTGGACTTTTAAAGTTTGGTTCCTTTGAAAAGTTTAAGGCTTTTTGAAAAGATTCTTCTATTTGGATGTTTTCCAGTAAATGTCTCTTTATTGTTGGAAACTGGGCAATATTATGTCATGCAAGCACCGAGTCTGCAATGTTGTTTTCCATCTGTCTCCACAGATTGGCACTAATCAAATTGCTGTGTGTGCCAAAGCCCAGAATAAGCCATTTTATGTGGTAGCAGAAAGTTTCAAGTTTGTAAGACTTTTCCCTCTAAATCAGCAGGATGTCCCTGACAGGTTTAAGGTAAGAGAAATTCTAATTCCACCTTACCCAGCTAAGGTGCACACTTGTGTGTCTGTGAAAAATTTTCCTCTAAGTACATTTATCTGGATCTCTGTGCTGTGGCATGTTATGGAGCAGCTCTACTATACAGTCATGTGCCAAACAGCCATAATTTGTCTTATTACTAATATATAGTTCCTAAAGCAGTTCCTTTGGGGTGCAGGAGCAGTTGAGAGTAAGAAACAGTTAAACCAATACACTTTAGAACTACAAATTGTACTTTTTACAGAAGATAAAGCAGCTGAGACCAAGGTCTCACCAGTCTCTGCACTTGACTTCCTTCAGTTTTACCACAAACATCTGCTCAAGGCTGTAGTACCACTCTTGCCCAAAAGAGGATTTAACTTGCAGTTGTGTAATAACTGGTGGTCTCTGTTTCCTTCTAGTACAAAGCAGACACTCTGAAAACAGGTCAGAATCTCACAGAGGAGCATCCCTGGATTGACTACACATCCCCATCACTCATCACGCTGCTGTTCACAGACCTGGGTGTGTTAACTCCCTCAGCTGTCAGTGATGAACTCATCAAACTCTACCTGTAACACACAGGACTCCCTGCACAGATGTATCATCTTCAGTGACCATCAGGGCTGTAGGGCTTGGAAGATGATACAAGTTATAGGAACATGGCAAGGAAACAACATCATAAGGATTAATGTAATTATGGACCACTCTTGAAAAAATTCCAGAAGTTACTACAGCTTCTAAAGACCTAAAGTAAATTATTTTAAAGATGGGTGGAGTGTTTTGATACTATAAATTAAAGTACCTTATGGTGTATTCAGACTTGTTCTGAGGTGTGCTGTTACTGAGCTGTGGGATGTATCTGAAAAAAAAACAGAATTAAAACATGCACAAGGCTGCTGATGGAAATTGCAGCTCCTGCCACACCAGAGTGGTGCTTTTAGCTTTGTTCTCAACGACTGCAGGCTGGTTTGTGTGTCTTTCTGGATGCCAGGTCTCCCCATGAAGAAACTGGATCGATTCTGTTCTCTGTATCATTTTTTATAAAAATCCAGATTTATTGAAATAAGCAGTATTTTAATGTAAAAGGATAAGTGTCAGCCTTCAGACTCTGTGTCAGCAACAGTTTCTGCTTTGAGTCTACTCTGGCTGCCTGTTAGTTTCTTCTCAAACTCTTCTTCACTAATTTTCCCCTTTTTTAGTCTTTTCAAGAGTCTTGTGTCATTCAGCAGCTCCTCCATATCCTCATCTTCGATATCAGAGCCCTGTTGGCAGTTGAAAACAACAAATTAAACACTACACCAGAAAGTTTTCATTCTATATAGCTGAACGTGAGAAGATGACAACTTGGATTTTGCCAGGAGTATCCAAGCAGGAAATAATACTCAGTTCCTACCCAGGAGACTCTGTAACTCTCAGCTACACTTGTTAAAAATTAACAAAAGCAAGGAAAAATCAAGCCCTGTCCACCATCGGGCCCTCCTGCAGGACTCCAGAGAAATAAAAATCCCTGCTGTGTCTGCTGGCAGCACTAATAACCAGCATAAGTGCTGAGAAATTGGTTTAGTGTTTGGCTTTAAAAAGCTTCTCTGTAATTTTTTTGTTAAGATTTGCCTGTCAAGGTCCTAAAAAGTTACTTTACAGCCATCAGTTCCACCACACTAAAATCCCAGGGCACTCTACCATTTGAAACTATAATTATTTGCATTTTAACAGAATGGACAGTTACCTCTTCATGCTTCCTTTTAGCTGTTACTTTCTTTTTCTTCTCCCTCTTGGCTTTCTGCTTTGACCAGGCTTTGTTCTTTATGAATTTCTTTTTCCCTTCATTTTCTTCTCTCTCTTTTCTTTGTTGTTCTAATTTCTTTTGTCTCTGCTTTTCTCTATTTTTATCCTTAAACGAAATGGAGTCTGTATTCACAGTGACTGGAGTAAAGTCTGGAAAACATTTTCCTCTTAGTTCAGGCATCTTTGGCATTTTTAACAATGCAAAACCTCTGGCAAGACTGGCAAAATCCAGATCTGTTGAAACAAAGATTATAAAGTCAGTTTCCTGCTGAATAAAAAGTTCATTTAACTGAGAAAGAAAAAAAACCCCTAAAATTATTTTAGTGTATTGTTTGCATTCTATACTTAACACCAGCAACAATACTAAGTCACTTTTATTTATACTTATATCGGTTTGGTTGAACTCCATAATTAAATGTTTTCTCTTGAAACAAGCTGCTTGAAAAAATAGGAGTTTTCTCAAAATTTGATGTTGTAGAAAGTGAATCTGAGATTCAGAATCAGTAGTTGAAGCTTGGGCACAATAATACCATGGGTTTTTTTTCCCAAACCAAATCCCGTCTTCTGAAAAGAAGAGTAGAAGACACTAGCCCTGCCGGGAATTACCTTTTATTCGGAAGATCAGATTGCATTCATGTTTGGCATAAGCCTGGACATAAGACACAAAGGCTTTCATCCCTTTCTCAAACACTGCCCTGTCAGCCAGGGCCATGGACTTCAGTTTGGGAAGAAGATCCAACACATTGGTCTGTGGTTTCATTTCCTGCATGGGACACTGAGAACCAGAAAATAAACAACAAAACCAAAGGAAAAGTTCAGCTAAGTGGTGTCAAATGCGCTGTGAAACCTCAAACACACACTTCCTGCCCAGTTAATCCTCAGTGAGCTTTGAGCCCCTTTCCCCTTGGTCATTCCAACATACCAGCTGACCATCAGCTCCACACAACAGCTGTCCTGGCCCAGCAGAGGAGTTCCCACACTGCAACCCTGCAGAGGCAACATCGTCTTGTGCCTTATCAAGCTTTGATCTCATTAGCAGGTCTAGAGAATTTATACAATTACACAAATGCAGGAGCAGGCATGGGAAAAGAGTTAAAAATGAACAGCACAGAGGGTGCAGTGTGTCAGCTGGTGGTGGCAGGGCTGGGGCAGGAGGGTAGGCCAGCACTGCCCTTCTGGAAATGCACAATTTACACCCTTAGGGACAAAAAGCCTTTCCTTACTCACTGCCCACATGTTCCTCTTCCAAACTCAGTAGGCTTCCTATCAGCCTGTCCCCTTGCTCTCTCCTGCTTTGGGGTAGAATAACAGTCCACGAACCTTTTGGTTGATGGAGAGAAAGTTAACATAGGATTCTTCCATGGGAAGCAAAAACACGAGTGCGCTGCCGACGTTGCCGATCCGCGCGGTCCGACCACAGCGATGCACAAAGGCACTGCAACAACCCAACACGGGCAACTCAACAGGACAGTCAGGCTGATTTTAAAGTGTTAGACAGGCAGCAAAAAGGGCCTGGGGATGTGGAATGTGGAATGGAAAGTATGATGTTCTGTACTTTTGAACTAAACCAACGGGGATTAGTAAAAGACAATGTCCCACAAAGAAGGGTGGCAGCCCCACTCAAGAGTATCAGCCTTTCTTGTTCCTGCATCATTTTGTGTTCACCCAGATTTCCAGGCAGTGATTAAATGTGTTTTCTGCAATTTTGGTTCCCAGTTTATATCTGAACAGCACAAGAACATGATCACATGGACACAAAAGGTTCTTACGACTTGGAACTGTACCTTGCACTGCTGGGTGGGTCGTACTGCAAAACCCAGTGCACTTCTGGGATGTCAATGCCACGGGCCATCACATCTGTGCAAACCAAAATGCCCCTGGGAAGGAGGAAAAGTGTATTTTCATTAAACTCATTCGAGGAGAGCCAGCCCCCCCAGCTGTGTGTTCTGCATCTTCACTGGACGGGGGGGACAGAGCATTAGAAACATTTGGGGATTCAAAAGAGACAAAATATAAGGTAACTGCAGCTTCCACCAACTAAAATTCCACATAACATTATGAAAATTATTGTGATTTATATTACATTTCTAAGAAAAATCAATTTCCTATTACATATTCAAATTCTAAATCAGCATTGCATCAACGACAGCTGAATGTACTATTATAAATGTTTCAATAAAAAACTTAAAAGAGAATGACAATTTTAGCACATCAAAATTGGTCTTTTAAATGCTGGTCTTTTAAACAGCTGTTCTTCCAATCTGCTGGTAATTATTTTTCTCATAATATAAAATGCCAAAGCTCAGGTCCCACGCAATAAATAATGACAGCTAATGAGGCAAGAGTCTCTTAACATCCTGCAGAGCTGCCAAAGAACACTTTTCTGCAGTTAAGTTACAGCCCTGTGTTACCACATTCTTGTTCATACGCTGCAAAAATAATATCCTGGGGTTTTGCTCTGGCTCCCACTCTGTGATATTACAAATACACTCAGAACCAGCCTGTAGCATCCTCCTCCTCAGCTGTTCTTCCCTGCTCAAGTAGCAGGACAATAGTCAGACAAAATCACCGAAATGCCCCTCACTGCTCTGACTTTTGGCTGGTTCAGCCCCAGTTCTTACCCCGGGAGCTTCCGAAACTCGGTAAAGATCTTGTTACGCTTGTGCTTCATTTTCCCATGAATGCTCATTATTTTCACTTGTTTAATCAAGGATTCCAAAGCCTTCCCATAGTATTCCACACAGGCACACGTGCTGTGGTGATAAAGACAGGCATTAAGTCAAAAGATTATGCTGCATTTTTAATCTGGTTTAGACAGTCAAACTCGAGTGGTCTGAAATGTTTCAAAACTATACACTATTGACTATTTTCATATAACCATGCACATAATTTTTATAAATTACATATAATCATCTATAATGTCTTACTTGAAAATTGCATCTAAAATTTCTGTTTTGCTTAATAACATTCAACACAATCCTCAGATGAAGAAATGATTAATCTCTTTTTAGGCACCATATTCTACAAGACACCTCTCAAAATTAATCACTTTGAAAAAGTTGTATCCTTGGCAACACAGGGCAGGTTTGGAATTTAATAAAACACTATTAATAAAACTGTTTTCACAATGAAACACCAACAAAATTACCTAAAAAAGACCAGATGTTTTTCCTGTTTGTGCTGCCGAAGAAAATGCACCAACTGATTAAATTTTTCATCTGCTTTGCAGATCTAAACAATTCAAGAGAAAAAAAGAAAAGTAAGAAAATAGACTTCTGGTTCTTCCATTAATGTGATCCTAAGACTTAAAAACTTATTGACAGAACCAGGAAAAAAGGAGAGGGAACAAGAAGCTCTCTCAAAGCCCAGGTTCCCACCATGTAATAGTTCTCCAGGCGTGTGGGAGTTTTCTGGGTGTTGGTTGCTGCCACTCCCTTCTCCTTCACCGAGATCCGGACGGGATTCCGGAGCCCTGCTCTCACCAGGTTCTCCACCTCCTGAGTCTGAGTAGCTGAGAACAGACCTGTCCTTCTCTGCTTGGGCAAAAAGTCCAGGATGGCATTTAAACTGCAAGCAAGCACATGGAAAATATAACTGTCCCAAGGCTCCCCTCAGAAAGAGGTTTAATCACTGAAGGAAGAGTTTACAAGAATTTACAAGCAGAATAGGTTTTATCATCACATGCCAAACTCCTATTGAAATAATTAACTTAAACAAAGAGAAAAGGGAGATGAAAGCTTATTTGTTAAAGTGTTCTAAGCCATTCTGATGTGTGAGTAATGATGCTTAACCAAGCATTAAATAGAGATGTGTTAATAAACAACTTAAAGAGAGATGTGCTAATATACATGAGAACAAAAGAAATTTTAAACTCTGTATTCATCAAGGATCCACTTTTCCTGATTCTCTTCCCACTTAGCAATTGCTTTATGGAGCAAAGAGAGAAAAAAGACAAAACAGAACAAACTATTGCAGGCCACACTCATTCCCATCAATCATTTAAACTCATTAAAAACTTTAGGATTATTAGAATT